ATCATATATATATAACTTCCTGTTCACAATGTATTTTCATTCATTCTGTTATTACTGTACAACAATTTTATAAGTCAAAGAATAAGAGCTACATGCTATATATCTCACTTATTAATAAGGTGGTATAATAGTTTTTGTATGAAACATACTCATCTTTATAAAACAGATACCTTTCATCCCAGTTTTCATTCCACTCAAGCCTTGCTGGGTTACAGGACGATCAGCAACTTTGATCTGAGATGACAAAACTCCACCAGTCCCTACAAGGCTACCACGAGAACCTGGTCTTGCTGTTGCTGGTGGCATCTAAATGACAAGAGTTCACTCTTATTAAACAAGGGAGGGAAAGATCTCTCCTAGTATAAGATTATAAAGAGAGCTTTTCTTTTTTTAATTTTTTTTACTTTTTATTTTCTGTGTATGTGTGTATTGCCTGCATGTAGGTAAGTGCACCCATGTCGTGCAATGCCCACAGAGGACAGAAGAGGCTGTTGGATCCCCTGGGAATGGAGTTACGGACAGTTGTTAGCTGCCATGTGGGTTTTGGGATTCGAACCTGGGTCTTCTGCAAGAACAGTCAGTGTTCTTAACCACTGAGCCATCTCTCCAGCCCCAAACAGAACTTTTCTAAAAACTGAAACTCTACACAATTTATAAAATACAAAGGTCAAAGTCAGCTTGACCTAAAAAAGCCAGACACTATTTCAGAAAAAAAAAAAAAAAAAAAAAAAAGTAGTAGAGTCGGGCTGGCCAAATGGTTCAGCAGGTAAGAGCCCTTGCTGCCAAGTCTTGTCATCTGAGTTCAATCCCAGTGACCCACAAGGTAGGAGAGAAGACTCACACAGGGTTTCTACAGACATCCTCAGGAGCACCATGGCATATGGTTCCTTCCCCAAGATAAGTAAATAAATGTAAAGAAATAACGTTAGTATCACTGTTTCTACATAATGATATTATGGTTGATTTTCTCCTCTATATATAGAATTTGGTGTTTTAAGCATTATTATAATGAACATATGTTTCCTTTAAAATTAGGGAAAAAGGGGGCTGTAGAGATAGCTCAGCAGTTAAGAGCGCTGGTTGTTGTTGCAGAAGACCTGAGTTGGAATCCCAGCACCCACACAGCAGCTAATAACTCTGCGTGACTCAGAAAGCAACACCATCTGTCCTCCACGGGCATTGCATGATACAGGTGCACTTACATACATGCAGATATTAACACTTATACACATAAAATAAAAATAAATATGTAAAATTTTTAAATTAGAAAAAGTTTATTTTGAAAAAAAAAAAAAAAGGACACTTTTGAGCCAGGTGCGGTGGTGCACACCTTTAGTCCCAGCACTCAAGAGAAGGTGGAGCTTTACAAGTTCAAGGCCAACCTGGTTTACATAGTGAGTTCCAGGTGGAACTACAGGGAGAACCTGTCTCAAAACAGACCAAAAAAAAAAGGGACCCTTCTATCACAAAATGCCTGCGTGAGCACTAAAGTGTTACTTCATTCAATAAGATTCCTATTGTTACTCATGATTCTTTACTTTAGGTCTTCAAAATCCAATATAATCCTACATACCTTGAGGAGAGGACAGGACTCTCTTCTTGTGAATTATAAAACATATATGGGCAAGGGAGGTTATGAAATACAAATTTTCCAAAATATCTCATCTTCTATCTTCTTATATATTTTTTGATCCTCCTCTCTACTAAAGTATATTACCAGATTAAATACAGGGTCAAAATTTTAGATTGTTAAACTACTGCCAACCATTTGATTGTTTTGTTTGTTTTAATTATTTATTTAATAACCACATAATTAGAAGAAGCATTTCATTACAACAGCATTGACAAATTCAATAACAATTTCCAGAGCTAAGATACATCTCTTTCAAAATTGGCTATAAATTTTTAGGTTTACAGTTGAATTAATAGTTATACATTATTGAACTCAGTATAAACCCTGTAAGATATAAAAGTGAATTAGTTTTTACCCTTTAAAGATCTCCATTTCATTTTAAAATACACTGTTTCCTACATTATTTCACTGACTCCTTTTTTTAATTATTTAACTAATAACCACATAATTAGAAGAAGCATTACAACAGCATTGACATATTCAATAACAATTTCCAGAGCTAAGATGTATCTCCTTCAAAATTGGCTGTAAATCTTTATGTTTACAGTTGAATTAATACAGTTATACAATACTGTACTCAGTAAAAACCCGATAAGACATAAAATTAAATGGTTTAAAACTTTAAAAAAGATCTCCATTTTATTATTAAAATACAGTTTCATACAGAAAAATTCATTTTTAATGCAATTAACACTAAGATGTTCGCACATGCATTTCTAAGCTCTATATATCTGATTATTACTAGTCACAGTCTGAGCATCTTGGCATCTGAGCGTGAATATGAAGTCATCAGGTAGATTTGAATGGTAACGTTTTTCACATCTACTAATTATTAAGGAGCAAATTTTTATGCTTTGAACAATTATTTTTTTCTATATTTTATTTTTTTAATTTAATAAATACATGAATAGAAGCATTTCATTACAGCTTTAACATATTCAGTAACACATTTCATAGCAAGGAAACATCTCTATCAAAGGTGGTGATAAATTTTTAGGTTCACAGTTGAATTAACAAAGTCAAACAATATTTCACTCAATGCAAACCCTATAAGACAAAAAACTGAATGAGTTTTTATCCTTTAAAGATCTTCATTTCATTTTAAGATATGCTGTTTCCTACATTTTTAATGCTACTAACATATGTTTACACATGTGTCTTTAATCTCTATGTATCTGATTATACCTAGTCAGTCAGTTACACTCGGATCCTTAGTGCCTGAGTATGAATGTAAAGTCATCAGGTAGATGCAACTGGTAATGTTTATCACCTCTACTATTTAACATGAAGTAATTTTTTTAATTTTTAATAACTACATGATTAGAAGAAGCATTTCATTACAGCTTTAACATATTCAGTAACACATTCCAGAGCAAGAGTACATCTCTTTCACAAGAGGCTCTAAGTTTCTAGGTTCACAGCTGAATTAATAGTTATACAATATTGAACTCAGTATAAGCTCTGTGAGACATAAAATAGAATGAGTTTTTAACCTTTAAAAAAGATCCCCATTTCATTTTATAATATATTGTTCCTTGCAGAAAGACTCATTGTTTTTGCTACTAATACTGAGATGTTGGTGCATGCATCTCTAATGTGTATGTATCTGATTAGTACTAATCATAATCGGTTGCACTTGGATCCTTGGTGCCTGTGTATGTCTATAAAGTCATCAGGTAGATTTCAATGGTAATGTTTATCACCTTTACTAATTAACATGACGTAAATTTCCGTGCATCTTCCTCAAATATAATACATTTTTAAAATATGTTGATTTTGTGTGTGTGTATCACACAGAATATCCCAAACCATCTTATTCAACTATATACCCACTTCACAGATGGCACCCTCCCATAACCTCCCACCCCCCACTAGAACCCTTATACTCTGTTATCACTTCTACTGACTGCTGTGTTGTTGACACCCCCAGCCATTCCCCACTACTTGTCCATCTGGTGAATCTAGTCACCCTATCTAGAGCTCTTTGATTTAGGAAGGTCAGCTGTTCCTCATCTAGCAGCAATGAGTTGTCAATATTCCTTTAGATAAGATTGAGCAATGCTGTTCAGTTCCCCAGTTCTATGCTGGGTTACTATCTGGGAATCCCTTTAGCTACCCTGGCCAACAACTCGAAAGAAGGCATCTCCTATCTGGCATTGCTGCTTGTTATGTAGCCTTTAGCTATACATACGGACTCTTAAGAAATTATATTGGCCCCTTTTCCTTTAATCTTTGGTTATACTTTCCTTTTGGCTGTTTAAGGCCATACAGTTAGTCCAGATAAACCAATTTATTTTTACTCTTAAGGTCGTTTGAGGGTCTGTTCCTCAGGGGTCACATGGGCTTGTGAGGAACCCCTGGCTCCTTTCTTTTACCAATTCCACCTGTGTGAAGAAAAGTCAAAGGTCCTGCTCGACCATGGCTGCCTTTGCATGGAGGAACAGAGGAAATGATTCCTCTAAGTTGACCCTCCTCTTTGTAGACTGGACACAGGTTCAAGTCTACCCCGTGGTGTCTCCTCGGCCTCCTTGATCAAGAGACAGGTGACCCACCAAAATTACAGGACATTTTGAGAGATGCTCATAGTCCCCTGGAACTAATCGTCCTAGGAGGGCAAGGAGAAAAAAACTGTCCTTTATGTCCCTCTGACCAAATTATTATAGGCTTCAAAGTATGTCTGTTAAACATCCAAGATTAGTTCAACCAGTCTGGTACTTTTAATTACTGTGTGTCACAGATAAATCTTGGGCAAAGACCAATTATTCGCATATAAACCATACATAGACGTATTTCTTGATCCACTATGTATAATTTGTCATTAGGTTGTTGGAGTAATATGGTAACCTCTGGTTTTTAAAGCTAGCTAGTCATTATTTATCTCTCATACTGTCTCACCCCTCCATCATGGTTTCTGGAATTAAGGTGCCCCCATTTCCCCCCTTTCTCCCTTAATAATAACCTTCTCCTACGGTCCTACCACTCTTGAGCTCCTTCTTTCCCTTTATCCCCTAGCTTCCTTATATACCCTTCCCCCCCACCGGCTTAAACTAACCCTATTTTTATAAATGAACCACATTTTCATTATCCACTCGTAAACTGAGGGACACTCAGGTTGCTTCCATCTCTTAGCTATTGTGAAAAGAGCAGCAACAAACATGGATGTACAAGTGTCTCTGCAACAGGATGAGTTCTTAGGATGAGTTCAATAGGATATGCCAAGGAGTGGCATAAATGGGATAATTTGGTAGGTTCATTTGTAGTTTTTTAAGAGTTCTCCACACTGCTTTCCATAGGGGTTGAACAAGTTTGCAGCCCCAACAGCAGTGGATGAGTGTTCCCCTTTCCCCACATCTTCTCCAACATTTGGTATCATTTGTTCTCTTGATCTTAGCCAGTCTGACTGGGGTAAGAAGAAATTTTAAAGTGGTTTTAATTCGCATTTCCCTACTTCTTAGTGATGAACATCTTTTAGGATGCTTCATAGCCATTTTTACTTCTTCTTTTGAGAACTCTCTGTTCACCTCCTTAGCTCATCTTTTAATTGAGTTACTTCCTGAGTCTGTTTCTTTAATTCATTATATATTCTGGATATTAAACCTCTGTCAGATGTATCACTGGTGAAGATTTTGTCCTATTCTGCGGGTTTTCTGTTCCCTTCCCTGGTTGCCTCCTT